TTCATTTTTCACAATGATATTTCTGATTTTCTGATTTGTATTTTCTTTTACTTTCTTTTACTTTCTTATCCACTTTTTTGATCAAATCATTTTAGGTCCTGAACATCAAGTAAGTAAGGAGTAAGTAAGCAGTAAGAGAGTAAGCAGTAAGAGAGTAAGCAGTAAGTAAAGAGCGAAGCGAGTGGTCAGCAACTGAGCTGTCGTTCGCGTTTCCTTTGGCGTCACTATGCCCAATTTTTTGGAAACAAATTGGAAACAATTTTTTTTTTCCGAAGCCGTCTCCAATCCAAGTACTAACAGAGTACTTGTACTACCTCCAAGTACTAAAAGCAGATCGAACGGGATGCCGTGTTTTCAACGTGGTATGGTCGTAAGCAGGGGGTGGGTGGTTAATGCCGATGGAAATAGTGAAAGAACGAGAGATCCTTTGTCGCCGAAGAGACGCGAGCCCACTCTGTGCACCTTTCGTGTGTCTCGTAAGAAAAAACGGCATCTGGCATACAGCCTTTCCACAAAGGTCGACAGATACCTGTCTCGTCGGTTTAATTACCCAAGTTTGAGGTTAGCATTAACCCCGAGGCCTTGTCGAAGTGTATCGGATAAATTTTGGAACGCGTCTCCGTAAAGGAGATGCACTAAGCAATCGAAACCTCAACTGTTGCACTGTTTTTCGATCAAATCGAGCGATTTGTTGCTAATTTACGTGTTTTGTGGCTAATTCAAGTGATTTGTTGACGTTTTACATTGAAATGCCAAGATAATGGACTGTTTAGGCCGTTTGTTGCTAATTTAAGCGTTTTTTCGATCAAATCGAGCGATTTGTTGCTAATTTACGTGTTTTGTGGCTAATTCAAGTGATTTGTTGACGTTTTACACTAAAAAATGACGCTTTTTTCGCGCGCCAAACCACTGATGTCAATTTCATTGAATCAGTGGTTTGGCAATTTCATTGAATCAGTGGTGCGGAACCACATGGGTTTTTCCACTATATGGTGGAAATATTTTGAAAAATGGCTGATGTTGTAGTGGAAAAATTGAGTCGAAACACATGTTGCTGGTTTTTTCCGCCGGTGTCAAATCATCAATTTTTAGAGCGGCATAACACAAAAAGCTTACGACCACTCGGGATTCCCAAGCCGTCACCGATCCAAGTACTAACCGAGCCCAACTTGGCAGATCGAACGGGATGCCGTGTTTTCAACGTGGTATGGTCGTAAGCAGGGGGTGGGTGGTTAATGCCGATTGAAATAGTGAAAGAACGAGAGATCGTTTGCGGCGAAGAGACGCGAGCCCACTCTGTGCACCTTTCGTGTGTCTCGAAATTCCTAAATTTGGTTCCTTGTCTCTCTAAATTTGGTTCTTGGTTTGATTTGGTTTTTTCTAAAGAGAATTTCGGAATTGACTGTCGATTACACTCAGATTTCTCTAGTCGCTTTGAAAACTATAATTTTGCAGAAATAAATCGTGCAAGATGATCGATTGTTGGCGGGGTTTTCGGTAAAAAAAAAACCTCTTTACATGTCGACGAAAAGCGGGGATTTCTTTCAAAGTAATCACCCGTTTTTAAGCGGAAATTTTCGAGAGATTTTTCATCGTTTCAATCATTTTTCATTTTTGCCTTTTTTTTCGATGATTTATCGAATGGTCTGATGACGATTGACACTGGCGTTCTTTTTAGAGAAAAGAAACGAGATTTTCTTCAGCAAATTGGTCACAAAATATGAAAAATGGATTGAATTTTTGATTGGTTGAATAGCCAGAAAAACGTTTCAGCGTTTTTCGATCAAGGAATACGATCAAGGAAGAAAATCAAGGCTTATCAAGGCTATTTTGCGTTCAACAGACAAAGATTTACTTAAAACATTCAGAAATGATTTTTACAACAAGCGGATAAAGCATTACGGATTACGGATAAAGTAGAAGCATTATAAAGCTTTTAACATTAATAGATAATACAGGGTGACCAAGAATTACCGCAACAACGTCGTATTATGTTATGAGCCTCATTTCACTTTTTGCTTACCTTGCTTGCCTTGCTTGCCTTGCTTACCTTGCTTACCTTGCTTACCTTGCTTGCCTTGCTTTTTGCTTGTTTTTATGGTTTTTGTGTATTTTTCTTATTTTATAGTATGATTACTAACTTTCAATACTTCAATAATTCAAGTATGATTGTTTTCAGGAATGGTGAAAGCGTCTCCACATCGACAATCGATCCTTGAGCTCAAGCGGCAGCGTGTTCAGGCGAGCGAGATCTCAAAGCGCCTGAATGTCCCCAGAAGCCTTGTTTCTCGAACCATTCAACGTTATGAAACTCTCGGCACGGTTTCTGATCGATCTAGGGATCTGATCGCCTTGAAAGAGCTGCAAAACGAACAGCGGTTACTCCGGCTAATGTCAAGAAAGTGCGCGATCGTCTAAACCCTAACCAATCGGCTTCAAGTGTGTGAAAGTAAATGCGGTGAATTATTTGGACTTGCTAAAGAAGGAGGTTGTTCCATGGGCTCAACGCCACTTCAAAAATCGAATTTGGACTTATCAACAAGATGGTGCGCCGGCTCACAAGGCAAAGAAAGTGCAAGAGCTTTTTTCAAAGACCTTCCCAGACTTCATCTCGTTTTCTGAGTGGCCACCCAGCTCACCCGATCTTAACCCATTGGATTACTCAGTCTGGAGGGTTCTTGAAACCAGGGCATGTGCAAAACCACATAAAAAATATCGAAAGTTTGAAGAAGGCCCTCATCAAAGCATGGGATACCCTCGATGATGCCTATTTGCTTGTCACGGTCAACGCGTTTCCCAAGGAATACGATCAAGAAGTCTCGCTCTACAAAATGACACCAAAAGCATCAAAATTGGTCCACTAGTTTTGGAGATACAGGCACGCGAAGTGGCGCGGTCAATCACGGTTCGAATTCGAATGTAACACGTACATAAAAATTGTCCCAGTAAAGGTAGCGATCTAAAAATTTGTGATCTTAATGTGAAAATGTATGGAGAAGCTAAAAATCAACACCGTTTTACTGGATTCTCAAAAGCTTCTATCAAAATTACCCATTTTAGAAAGGGAACAGGACTTTTTGACCGGATATAAGCCGACCTGGCCCTTTTGAATATTGCGGTTCAATCTCCCGGCATCGTTCCTCCTCTTCTCACCAAAATGATCACTCACTTTCCACCACTATCGTTGTGATTATATTCTTTACTCTCCCACAAACACTCACACTTATCATTGTTCTATTAGGTTGTTCGGATATAAACAATCGTTGCTAAAATTTTTGTTGTGAGAGGAAGGACGATGTTGTTTGTTTTGTTGTTTTTTTAAAACATGTCTTTCTGTATTTAAAAGTACGTTATCTTGTGCCTATTTGGAATTTTTTTAAACGGATAATTTCTTATTTTTAAGAGCTTTTTTCTTCCTTTAGATGACCGATTTCAAATATCAAATTCTCGTCTGCCTACTTTACGACTTCAAACTGGAATTCCGCTACAAAACATTAGCAGAATCCCATCGAGATTTGGTCAAAGCTTTGGGAATGATGTATTGTCCGAAAGCCGATGCCGAGTCTGGTTCCAACGCTTTCGGAATGGTGATGAAAGTCTCGAGGATCATGAACACTCTCGTCAAGAATATCGTTGTCTACCTCAAGCGGTAGACAACGATATTTTGAGGGCTGCAATCGAATCGGATCCATGCCAAACGACGCGTGAACTTGCTCAACAGTTTCTATCAAAATTACCCATTTTAGAAAGGGAACAGGACTTTTTGAGCCACCGTATATAAGCCGATCTCACCCTTTCAAATATTACGGTTCAATCTCCCGGCATCGTCCCTCCTCTTCTCACCGAAATGATCACTCATTTTCCTCCACTATCATTGTGATTATATTCTTTACTCTCCCACAAACACTCACACCTATCATTGGTCTACTTTATTCCCCACAAGTAGAACTCAGAGCACTAGCTATGAGATTTTCAAAAGTTCTACGAATTTGGCTTTAAATTTTTGGGACAAGTTTTGAAAACTAGTACTTTTAAATAAATAAATATCTGCCAAAATATAATATGCAAACGTTTTCAATGCATTTGCAAAGAAATATGCAATTTCCAAATGGTTTTCGTCGACTTTTGCCAGTCTAAACTCGCTTTTCACTCCCTGCACCCAATCGTCTCTTTGGCAAAGTGGTAGTGCGCGCGATTGCCGCTCAAACCATCGCAGGTTCAATCCCGGCAAGACCGCGATCAGATCGAAATGACCGGTGACGATCAACCTAGCTCACTCTGAGAAAGTCATGAACGATTCACAAACTCCTACTGAGGTCATTCTTTTGTCAATTCAAAAGTAGAGTTTATTTTAGAGTGCAAATCAGCACTAAAATCTCAGAATTCCAAGAATATCTCGAAAATGTGTAAAGGAATTGTAAAGATTTCAAAGGAAATCAATGAAATCAATGATTCAATGAAATCTCTCCAATTTGTCAACGAATTTCAGAGTGTGCTGACAAAGTTCTGAGTCCTCAAAGCGTGAGGATCCGTTCAAAATACCTGGGAACCACGCAAGAGCCGAAAAATACCTGGGAACTAAACAAGAGCACAAGAGCCACAAGCGCCGGTTCCATTTTGAGCCCCTCCTTGTTCATCACTAAAACATCGAAATCTGATCGATATGCAAAAGAGCATGTACTCATTTGGCAAGGCAAAGTTTGGTGAATTGTCTGACGTTGAGAATGAGCTCCTTGGCAGCTGGTGAAACCGGTGCTACTCAATACGAGTATCTCAGCTAGAATCTAAGCAATCATAGAAGTGAAATTATCGAACTTTGGCAAACTATTCACTGCTAGACTAAATTTGCATCAGACTCACACATTTGGGCGCAGGTACGAAACAAATTCTCACGACAGTTTTCTCTTATCAAAAAAAGATGAGAAGTGACGAAAGGGCGAGAAAGATTAGCCTCTTAAAAGGCCTGCTTTTTAGCTTTTGACACTTTTCTAGAAAGCAAAATGAAAATCTTGGTATTTCTATTTCTAATCGGCTTCTTGGATTGCTTTGTTTTTTACCAGGTTTTGTTGATTTTTCTGCTTTTGCATATTAGTTGACATACACTACTAGACAATGAAATATGATATTTGAAAAAAGATCGTCACTTTCGCGCGTCTATAACTCCCTTGTCTTTGAGTTTAAACTATTAGTGTTATACATTTTCTGAAAGCTCTTTTCAAGGGCTACACAATGGTAATATTAATATTTAGAAATACGGTAAAGACAAGGGAGTTATAGAGGCGCGAAAGTGACGATCTTTTTTCAAATATCAAGAAATCGCACTTTGCTTGAAGTTGATTAAACAAGTAATCAGTGTACCAAAACCGCGTCTATAACTCCCTTGCCTTTACCGTATTTCTAAATATTAATATTACCATTGTGTAGCCCTTGAAAAGAGCTTTCAGAAAATGTATAACACTAATAGTTTAAGCTCAAAGACAAGGGAGTTACAGACGCGCGAAAGTAACGATCGTTTTTCAAATATACTTTAAATATTTTTTTTACTGACTACTAGGTTGGTGCAAATGAAATTTCGTTTTTTTACAAACATTAAAGTCATCCAAAATTTTTTTAGATAACAATTTATTTAAAACAATAAGCACCATTATTATCTATGACATCCCTCCAACGTTGCTACAGATTGCGGATCCCCTTCTCAAAGAACGCTTGATTCTGTGATGCAAAGTAGTTGGTCACCCAATTTTCGACTTCTTTTGCATTCTTAAACTGGCAATTCTCAAGGGAATGTTGCATCGATCTGAAAAGGTGAAAATCGGAGGGTGCTAAGTCTGGACTATACGGCGCATGTGGTAAGACCTTCCATCCTAGCTTCTCTAGTTCCTTACAAGAGGTTTTTGCCGTGTGAGCTGGAGCATTATCACGGAGAAAGTTGATAGTTGAGGGATTTAGGCCTTTTTCACGCAAAATTTCGTCAACCTTCTTGAGTTGTTGAATAAAATAAGATGAATCGACTGTTTTTCCGGGCTCTAATAATTCAAAATGAACAAGTCCATTGATATTCCACCAGCAAGGCAACATCACTTTGCGCCCATGATAATCCGGCTTTGGAGTTGGAATTGGCGCTTGACCTTTGCTCAGCCATTGTCTTTTTCGAGAAGTATTATCAAAGTGAATCCACTTCTCATCCATCGTCAAGATATTCTCAAAAAAATGGCTTCTTTTCGACTTATGGAGCAAGATATGGCTGATCGAAACGCGTGCTCCCAGATTTTCAACACTCAATTGATGTGGAACCCATTGTCCATTACGATTTGTCTTTCCAATTATTTCCAAATGGCGTACAATTGTTGAATGATCACATTGAGATGTTTGGCAAGTTCTCGTGTTGTTTGCATTGGATCAGCTTCAATTAATTGTTCCAATTCATTGTTGTCGATGGCTGTGGCACGATGTCCATGCGATTCGTCTTCAAGGGATTCATTACCATCTCGGAATTGGGCAAACCAGAGCTGGCATGATCTTTCGGTGATAACCTGTTCTCCAAAGGCGGAACAGAGATCACGATGTGAATCAGCAGCGTTTTTGCCCATTTTGAAGCCATAGAGAAGACACGTGCGCAGAACATACTTTTGATCCACCATGATCTAAAGCAAAAATCAATTAAAAAGTGAAAGCTCTGACTTTGAAAAAATGCGAAAATAAAGTAAATATCCAAGAGTACAAATGCACAAAAGAACATCAAATAAGCTCTTCAGATTAAAAAAATAAGAACATTTTATATCGACCGAAATTTCTTTTGCACCAACCTAATACTTGTTGCCTCTTGAGCATGGTCACTTTTCTTAAATTTTTTAAGGTTATTTATCTAAAAAAGAAGAGGAAAGTCTTCCTTTTTCCTTTGGAAAGACATTTTGCCGCAGAACTGAAAAATTTCTAGTTAGATAGGAGAAAAACTCAGCGTTAAAGCTGAGAAAGAGAGAACTAAACTGAGTCTATGCATTTTTCTTTTGCAGATTGACCACGAAATTTAGAACAGCGACTTTTCTGAAGCTGTCCTTTCTTCAAATTTCCCTGATGCTATTCAGCCGAAGATCAGAGGTTAGTAGACAAAGCAGGATGAAAAAAGTGTGCCTCTTTTGCACTCACAAGGGAATGGTCCGAATTGGCCTGACGATTTCGCTGGTTGAGCTCATTTGAGGGTCTGAAAAATCGGCTGCAAAACTCCAAACAAAGAACTTTTTGTGCAGAAATGTAGGCAAGAATTTAGGCTTCAATTTGCTATATAACACTTAGGGTTTTTTTGAATTGATTGCGGCGTTTGGCATGTAATCTGCTGAAAAGGTGTGTCCATAATTTTGACGCAGCGACAGGCTGGACTTTCTATAGCAATCCGTATCTTTTATAGCAATTTTTATAGCAATCTTAGCATCTTTTAGGTGTTCAAAGTGTGAACGTGACCTTCTGTCCCCGAGATGTCGCTATTATCGACAGCCACCTGTTGACGAATGTGAATGATTCGGTCGTTTATCGAATTGATGCTACTTCTTGTCAAAAGTTGATCCAACTTTTCTTTTTATTTACGAATCAATGAAATCGGCTGAGCACATGTTTCACCTTACTTTTTAGAAGCATCTTTGGCTGGCAAGCACCGTATCCCATTACCGGATACCTGATCAAAGTCTATCGAGGGGAATTGAGCAGTGGAAGCTTGTTGAGCGGGTAGCAAGCCGGCGTCAAATGGCAAATTGTCGCTAATTTCAGAACAATCAATGGAAATCTGAGCTCAACCCTGATAACAGTGCAAATCACAATGACAAGCTCACCAAACACAACGTTTCCGGCGATTTTCATAACCACCGGTGAGATTCGTAAAAATTGTGCCCCTATTGGTCGATCGTGGTCGATTTCAGATCCCAACACAACCACGATTTATCCAAACATATCACGCGCTTGTTATTCGGGCTCTCCAACGAGTTTCCTACTTTCTCTCAACAATTTGCCCAATCCATCAATTGTTGTCTATCGTGGAGAAATTGATGTCTCCGATGCGACCCCTGGACTCTGGGGTCTACGCATTGACACCAGCAATTTGAACTTCAAAGGGAAAATCTATCGAGGAATCTCGCTTGATACTCCCGATTTGATATACGGGTATGTTGAGAGTTGAGCAAGCAAATCGAGTTGAGCAGCTCACACGAAAATCTTTTAGTGGAAAAGCAACGTGCTCGCTCAACCCTCCAATGAACACCATCCCAGAGCTAATCTTCGACGAGTTTATCACCCTTCAGCTAGACGGTCAACCGCCTGCTCAGTTGATGAGCTATTACTGTGCAAAGCAAGGTGAACATCATCTGCGATCGTCTTTTATCTTTTATCATCATCTTTGATCTTTTATCATCATCTTTTATACTACTAGAGTAGGGAAAAAGTCTTTTATACTACTTGGGTTAGTTGAGAGCAAGTAGCCAACTATTTCAGCCCAATTCAACACTGCCTACACAATCGACACAAATCCAAAAACGCTCATGATGCCCTCGTTTATCGACGGAAGCAGTAACGCCGATTATGCCTTCACAATCAAAGATGTAAATTGTCTTGTCTTGATATGCTAGCTACTTGATATGCTAGCTGCTTGATATGCTAGCTGCTTGATAGGCTAGCTGCTTGATATTCTAGCTGCTTGATATTCTAGCTGCTTGATACGCTAGTTGCTTGATCTGCTAGTTGATTGATATGCTAGCTACTTGATAGGCTAGCTGCTTGATACGCTAGCTGCTTGATATGCTAGCTGCTGGATATGCTAGCTACTTGATAGGCTAGTTGATTGATATGCTAGCTGCTTGATAGGCTAGCTGCTTGACATGCTAGCTGCTTGATATTCTAGCTGCTTGATACGCTGGCTGCTTGATACGCTGGCTGCTTGATATGCTAGCTGCTTGACATGCTAGCTGCTTGATAGGCTAACTGCTTGATATGCTAACCAAAATCAACTCCCAAACCTACAGTCTATTCCAGATGGCCACTTTGCCCGATCAGGCTCTCCAAATTGACGTTTACAACGAGATCCCCACTCAAGCGAACCTATCGATTCTCTTTTATAACTATGCTCAAGAGAAAAACGTTATGATGAGGTCACTCAATGATTTGCATCAATTTTTTTTTATCTTCTAAATCTCTAATTTCTAAATTTCTAAATTAAACATCTTCAGTTTCACGAATTCGAGCAGACTTTGCCAAGTGGAGTTGCCGACTTCAAATATGACTATCTCTTATAAACGGCAGGCTTGTCAATCAGATTGTGCTCCGGCTTTGTTGCTGAGGTGAGAAAAGTGTGTTGTGTTGTGGTGGAAATTTGAAATTTTTAGATTACAACAGATCCCAGCTACACTGAATAGTAGGTTTTCAAAGGAAACCTCTTATTAAACAGCTCTCTTACACACAAAGCTCTCTTACACACGAAAATTTTAGTTAAAAGCGAAAATATCACCTTCTGTCCGCGAGATTTCGCGATCCTCGACAACAGCAAGCTGATCCACATGCTTGACTCGATCGTTTACCGAATTGACGCAACTTCTTGTCAGAAGTATCGAAAATTTCATTGAAACTCTAATGCCAAACTTTAGAAACATCTACGGCTGGCTGCCACCATACCCAATCACCGGGTACTCTTTCAAATTCTATCAGGGAGAGCTGAGCACAGGAAAATTGATTGCCGGGTAAGAATAGGGGAGTGAGGGACGAGTTTGATGAACCGACCGATCAACCGACCGATTTAGACCGATCAACGGAAATCTCAACTCGAGTCTTATCACAGTTCAAATCACAAAGACTACCGATTCCACTACGACATTTCCGGCAATCTTGTTGACCACTGGTATTTCTTTTTTTTGTTTTCCTTCCTTTTTCCCGAAACGAATTGAATTTTTTTTGCAGTTTGCATTAAATTGAAACAAAATTTGTATAATCGATTATATTGATCGATTCTAAAAAGCCGATTCCACGCCGTTTTGGCTTGGAAGGCGGTGGGGTACTATTACAGTATTTACGGTATGTTCTTGCGCCCAGCAAAGTCACAAGTACATTATGGCGCCTCATGAGGCGACAGTTATAAAAATCAATGAAATACTTCTCATCCATTTCCCAAACCTTCGAACTCAAGGCAAGCTTGAAAATTGATGATTACTGCAAACTGATGATTTCCAATTTCACGCAGTCTAAAAGTCTAAAAGTCTAAAATTCCCGTTTAGCAATAATTATTTTTGATGAGCTGTAGCTGAGAGTTTGATTGATTGATCAAATGATCAAATGAGGCAAGCTGATTGATCAAATGATCAAATTGATCAAATGCAATCTTTGGAATGATAAGGAAAAAAAAACAATACCGTAAATTCTCTATTATTGGGTTGGGAAGTGTGAAATGGCGACGTATTCGGGCAAAACATTTGAAAAAAACTAAACCATAACTTTTTCTTCAATTTTCTTCTAATAGTAATTGAAGTTTTTGTTGTTTATATGCCAAAATTTCATCCCGATCTAATGCACTCTAATGCACAATGCATTTGAGAAATGTGAAGAGAAGATGAAGATGAGAGAAGATGTGTTAAAAAGTCAGTTTTTGTCTAATGTTTCCTCAAAATCTAGACCGCTAAAAGTTAGCAACAGCTTGCTTTGATTCAAAAATCGTTTCATCCAATATGTTTGTACAAACTGGTTAACCAAAATAAACATAAAATTAGAATTTTCGAATACGATCACTTTTTGATGATACTGTTCCCGGAATTCAGACACGTTTTTTTTTCAATCTTTAATTTTTATTATCGAACTTGATTGATAGAATAGCTGATAAGATAGCTGATAAAATAGCTGATAAAATAGCCATTTAAACTAGATGCTAGTCTGTTACAAGTTACAAGCATCGTCACGTTAAGTGGTAGTCAAAAATCGACTTTTTTTTTAAAAAACACATCCTCTCTCATTTCCTCATTTCCTCTCAAAAACTCTGCATCAGCTCAGAATGAAATTTTGGCATATAAACAACAAAAACTTCAATTATTATTAGAAAAGAATTTGAGAAAAAGTTATGGTTTAGTTTTTTACAAAATTTCGCCCGAAGACGTCGCCATGTCCCAACCCATAGTAATGCGGGTTCAGAGTAACGTTGCGTGTTGTTAAACAGCTTAAGATTTCTGCGGTAAAACCAGTTAAATCTTAAAATATTCATCAAGCTCTTAGCCTTGCTTGCTCATAAGCAACACTTCTCTTAACCCGCACTACTAATAGAGGATTTACGGTACCATCTATGAGTTATTTCCTATTCCTTTTCAGACTTCACGACAACAACCGTTTATCCACCAAAAGCCGGCCTTTGCTATTCGGGAGGGTCGATGAGTGTGCCGCTGTCTCTTCCCGGTGTGCCAAATCCCGTAATTGTCGTTTATCGAGGAGAAATCAACCTTTCCGAGGCAACCCCCGGATTGTGGGGTTTTGAGATTGACCCAAGTGTAAATATCCAAGGAAACGTCTATCGAGGAATCTCCCTTTTTGCTCCCGATTTGATCTACGGGTATGTTGAGAGTTGAATGTGAGGAATGATCTACATTTAGTGGAAACTCAACCTGTTCGAGCAACCCTCCAATGAGCACACTCCCATTGCAAGTTTTCGACGATTACATGACGATTCAACTGACCGGAAACCCCTCAAATCAATCGATGAATTTCCGCTGCACTCAAAAAAGTAGGTATTGCTGTAAGCTGAACAAGGCGAGCGAGCGAGAACAAGGCGAGGCGCGCTGAACAAGGCGCAACTGGATCGTTTGCGCAACTCGACATAACTTTCTTCTAAGTAGGCCAATCTTTATCATTTGGGTGTCATTTTGTAGATCTGAATAAGTGCAACAAAATGACACCAAAAGCATAAAGATTCGCTCACTTAGAAGAAAGTTATGGCAAGTTGCGCAAACGATCAGTTGCGCAAATAAAATGGCGGAAATTAGCCTACCCCCCAATTTACCATTGTACAGCTGTACAAGGCGAGCTTAATCAGCGAATTGTAAGCTGACTGAATGGACAATTTACCATTGTCCATTCAGTCAACTTACAAGAGCTTTAGCTCAATTCAACACCAAATCATACTTCGATGAAAAACCCGAAATGCTGATGATGCCTTCGTTTATTGATGGAAGCACCAATTCTTCTTATAACTTTTCTATCGCAACCGTGAGTTCTTTGTAAAATTGAGTCAATCATTCAAATTCAACTCTAGAAAACCGCGTCGATCAGTCAAGTGGTTCAAATCGGATTCTACAATCAAATCCCCGCTCAAGGTCGCCTCTCGATCGCCTACATTGATGCTGCCTCGCAAAATATGACAACACTAAGGTTTATTGAAATCTTTCCCATTGCGTAGACACGGCTTTTAGTTACACGAACTCGAGCAATGTGTGTCAATTGGAGCTGCCCACTGCAAATCTGACGATCAGCTATCAATGGCCCGCTTGTCAATCGAATTGTGCTTCGCCTTTGCTAATTCGGTAAACTGACTAAAATATAGTTTATGGGTTTTAGGAAAGAAGGAAAGACGAGAAATGTACTTGTGAGTTCTTTAAAAAAATCTCGGCGCTACTAAGGTTAGGGGAGGGAGGCACTTTTTTTCTTTAAATCCACTTTTTCTGGGGTAATTTTACGTGTAGATTCCGAAAAACACAGCGAGAGCTTGGGAAAAGACGTTTTAAGCCGAGTTTCGGGGCTTCAAAACGCTTGTATAGTGTATTTCACTACAGGGTGCGGCAAAAGTTCGGAGCCGCTTCTTAAGATAGTTAAAGGTTTAAAAACTAGCTTTAAAAAGTTAAAAATTAATAACAAACTCTTTATTCGAATCATAACAACAAATAACTTATAACAAATGCTCGAAATTTCCACCATCCGCTTCGGTACACCTCTTTAAGCGCTTTGGGAAGTTCCTCACGATGGTGGCGCACGCTTAAACAGTTATTTCATCCCAGACTCGTTTCAGAGCAGATTTTAAAGCATCCACTGTTTGATATGTCTTCATCGAGATCTTGCCTTCCAAAATAGCCCAAACGGTGTAATCGAGGGGATTAAGATCTGGCGAATTTGAAGGCCAAATGGTCTTATCCCAAAAGCCTGGAAACAACTGAGCGCAAACGTTGAGAGTTGAGTGAGCACCATGCGCCGGAGCCCAGTCCTGTTGCGGGGAAAAACCAGCTTGTCCAAAGTGATTTGTTGCCCACTGTTTCAAGACATCTTTTAATACCAGTTGTTGGCAGTTTTTAGCATTCATCTTGACGTTTCTGTCCAAAAAAACAGGCGGTGTCTTACTTGTAGCACACATACCTCCACACACCATAATCGAAGCTGAAAAATGCTTTCTAACCATCAAATTTGCCGCAAATGTGTTCTTCAGAACCCTTTTGAGAAGTTATCTATGATTTTGGCGGCTGTGCAATGACTGGATAGAAAAAATCTTTTCATCTGTGAAGAGGATCCTCTCAAGTAGGCCAGTTGCCACCGAGGGCACCATCTTCTTTGCTAGACGCTTTCGTTTCTTCTGGGATTTGTCGCTCAAGACGTGTGCTTTAGCCAATTTGTAGCTAAAGAATCTTAGTTTCCCTTTAACAATCCTTTCGACGCTTCGAGGGCTAATTTTCAGCTGTTTGCCCATCTTTCGCATCGACCGCAGCTTGTTTTGACGAATCCGAAAGCGAATTTCGTTGATGTTCGTAGGTGTTACGGCAGTTGGTGGTCGACCACTTCGAGGGCGATCCTTGTTGTTCTTTATCTCCTTGTAGCGTTTAATTGCTTTGTTGACGGTGCTTTTTGGATGATTTTTACAAGCTCCGGGCTATTTTTTCCGCCTTGGTATAATCCGAGAATCACATCGCGTCGTTTTTTGGCGTTCATTCTTACGAATTTTCTCCTAAAAAGAAAATTTTTGTAACAAATCACCTTAATTATACTCGAAAAAGGGGAAAAAAGTATACGAGACACAAAAAAAAAGCGTGAGCTAAATTTTCTGCAATGTTTTCATAGCGGCTCCGAACTTTTGCCGCACCCTGTATATGAAGCCCAAGCTATCGACTATTGGGGCACTTTTCAAAGTCAAAACTAGAAGTCAAAACTAGAAGTCAAAACAATTGGAAGTCGAGTTATAGGGTAAAATAGAAAAGTCCCCAAACTCTGAGACTCACCACGGAATTTGGAGCACTTTTCAAAGTCAAAACTAGAAGTCAAAAACAAATTTTCTCAAAGTCCGAGACTCCTATCTAGAAGGTCAACTTTGACACTCATTTTCTCTATGTTTTTATCGGTAAGTCTACAAAGCAAATTTTACTTTTCTATAACCAAATTTAATGAAGATTCTAATAAAAACAACCATGAGTTGATTCAGCTTCCATACCTCGAATTATACACCATCTAAGTGAGTCGACTTTTTCGGATGTTTAGTTCAACTTTGGCCCAAATTTTCTCTATGTACACTAGAGTGTACTAAGTAAATTATGGTTTTCTATAACCAAGTAAGTGGTTTTCTATAACCAAATTTCATAAGAATCTTTTTGAAACCAACCCCGAGTTGATCTGACAATTGGAAGTCGAGATCTGAAGGAAAATAGAAAAGTCCCAAACAAAGTCAAAACCATTTTTAGCCATTAAATATTCATATTCTAACTTAAATTGACTGGTAGAAGCAAAAGAAATTGAAAAAAGATATTTTTTGAGATTTTAACTCATTTGGGAGATCACATAGTCGAAATTTGGAAAAAAGAAAACATGACTGACTTTTGCTGACTTTTGCTTTACTTTCGCACTTACCTTGAACTCGTAGCACTTACGTAGATGAACTCGAGTCTTGCAACGTCTCCAAAAATTTGTAAACCCATCAAATCACTCTAGTCGGATGATTTTTATTCTTTTTATAATAAAATTAGCAATGTTAAGATATAAAAATAGGTGGTTGCCTTAAAAAATTTTTTATGATTATCCAGCTGCGATTAATACCCTCCCTTTAATACCGTCAAGACTTGAATTCACTAACCAACAGGAAAATTTGATTTCTTGTTCGTTGGGTTTAATTGATTAAGCCAATGAAGCCAACATAAGCTTATGAAGCTAGGATTATAAAAGGAAGCTTTCAAATTATCTTGCTATGCGCAAAAACTGACGCTTTCAGAAAGTGTGCTCTTCAGAAATACGCAACGATTGTTTATAGATATAAAATTCTAGATTTCAACAAGTTCTACCCATCGCAACTACACCTACACCTACACCTACACCCATCGCAACTACATCTAAAGGAGCTCCATCGATGGGAAATGGCGCCTCGATTTTGTTATTTTTTTTGTTTTGTCTACCACTATTCAAATAGTTCACTTAAAAGCTTTGATTAGTGAATAAAAACTTTAAACATAATACAATTTAATACAGTGAGTAAAAAAAGAAATTAAGTTTTGTTTCTGCGAATCGCTTCATCAAAACGCTTTTATGCCTAGCAACAGATTATATGAAAATCTAAATTTCTCAGCGTTTTGTTCTCAGCCATTTCACCATAAAATCAGCTTAAACTTGAGCTCATTTTATGGTGAAATGGCTTTGTTGTTGTTCTTGTTGTTGTTGTTCTTGTTCTTGTTCTTGTTCTTGTTCTTGTTCTTGTTCTTGTTCTTGTTCTTGTTCTTGTTCTTGTTCTTGTTCTTGTTCTTGTTGTTTTTCTTGTTCTTGTTCTTGTTCTTGTTCTTGTTCTTGTTCTTGTTCTTGTTCTTGTTGTTGTTCTTGTTTCACGTTATGTCTCTGGCATCTACTGTCAAAAAAATCAAAGAAATCAACTTAAAATGAGAGAGTTGAGACATGACAAAGTCGCGTTCATTTCATCTGCGCCAACTGATTATAATTTGCATTATAATGCCGTATTAGGAACTGGCATTCCACATGATTTTGAGAATATTTATGTGGATGGATCAACTCCACTACAGACATGTGCAAACTGGTTTGTTAAATTCTATTCTAGGGATGAATCTTCGATGACAAATCGAGGACCCAGCAGTCCAGCTGGATAATGACAAGTTACTCGAAATTCTTCAAATCAACAAAAGGCTTTCTTTTCGTGAAATATGCTACGGGATACGGTGAAATAGGCTACGAGATACGGTAGCTAGTCACACTTAATATGTCAAAAATGATTTGCAAAAATCCTTCCTAATTTGCCTCCAGTCTAAACTTGCTTTTCACTCGTCCAATCCAATCGGCTCTTTAGCAAAGTGGTAGTGCGCGCGATTGCCGCTCAAACGATTGCTACGAAACGCTCAAACGATTGCTACGAAACGCTCAAACGATTGCTACGAAACGCTCAAACGATTGCTACTCGCAGGTTCAATCCCGGCAAGATCGCAATCAACTCATTCATCACTTGAAATGACCGGTGACGATCAACCTAGCTCACTCTGAAAGAGTCATGAACGATTCACAAACTCCTCATACTGAGGTCATTCTTTTGTCAGTTCAAAAGTAGAGTCTATTTTGAGAGCAAATTAAGTACAAATCAGCACTAAAATCTCAGAATTCCAAGAATATCTTGAGATTTTTGTGCTCTGAAACGTTTTTTTGGGCAAAAAACGGAGTTGATTAGCGCTTAAAAATTCAGATTTCACCCAAACAGAAAGGTTAATTTTCACCTGTTCCCAAAAAAGGTTCGGCGAATCAAAAGTATCTTTACAACAAAATATTCAATAAGAAAAATGTCCAATCAATATAATCTAACTGGATGCACCTACGAGAATCCGAGTTTTTATCTACTTTACTTGAAAACTCTTTCATTTTTGAGCATTCCGTTGGGCTTCTTTGCTCTTTATTTGATCGTTTATCGATCGCCGATTCAAATGAAAGATTTCAAAGTGCATTTGTTGATCTATCAAGTGAGTTTTAGAGAAAAATGGGTACCGTAAATACTGTAATAGTACCCCACCCCCATAATGACGGTGCGGAGTGCTGCGTAGTCTAGTTTTGAACGAGTTTTTCTCGACACTGGTTTATGCTACAATGCGCGCTTAGATTTCAAAAAAATAGCTGAAATTCAGGGCTATTTTTTGATACCAAAGACGCATTTGTTGAAAGTACGGGCGCTTTGAAAAAAATGAAATACTAAAAAACTTTTGCGACTACGCGACTGTACGAGGGGGGTGGGGGGACTATTACAGTATTTACGGTAACAAAAAAAAGATGTTCTTTATCGCAAACACGATGAAATTGGGCTTCTTTCCGTTGCCTTTATTCCCCTTAAAGGTGAAACGAAAGGCATACCGTAAATACTGTAATAGTACCCCACCCCCCTCGTACAATTGCGTAGTCGCAAAAGATTCTTAGTATTTTATTTTTTTCAAAGCGCCCGTACTTTCAACAAATGCGTCTTTGGTATCAAAAAATAGCCCTGAATTTCAGCTATTTTTTTGAAATCTAAGCGCGCATTGTAGCATAAACCAGTGTCGAGAAAAACTCGTTCAAAGCTAGACTACGCAACACTCCGCACCGTCATTATGGGGCTGGGATACTATTACAGTATTTACGGTAGGTAAAGTGAGTTTGATAAGCTCGGTAAAGTTCTTCCCTTTAAGTCCAGTCAGCTCAACGGATTCAACTGGAATTGGCTTCGTTACAAGCCTAGTTCCAAAGAAATATCATGTTGTTATTCAAAAAATTCGAGTTCTCGGATTAAAAATCGATTTTACAAGCTATCACATCAGTCCTAACGGAGAATTTAAAACTTTAAAACATTGGGAAATTATGATTTTCATCACCTACGATATGAGATTAATGGCGAAACGAAAAACTGACGAAAGGCTACGTTAGCTTTCCAAATTACCCACCTTTTAGAAGAGCTTTTCAAGTTTTAGAGAATTTAGAAAGCACATTTACTCATTGAAATGCTTTAGTATCTTTACAAATCACTATATTTTCGCTTTTCTCAATATTTTCATAACTTTTCAGAGCATCTCTATGCTACTAGAAGTCACTTTGTTTTTACTATCTCCAGAGCTCTATTTTTCTGCACTCGCCGGCCGAATACTCGGCCCATGGGACACTGTATTCAATTTTGGAGTCAAACAAGGATTTGTGAGTTAACTTGGCTTTGAAAAAAGGTTATCGGACAGTTCATTCGCTTTGCCATTGGCATTCTAAGTTTGAGCTCAAATTTCTTGGTGTTGGACTGTCCAATTTGAATAGTTTTTGTACAAATCGATATCTTTGTCAAACTAAAATCGGGTAAATGATTACAAACCAATAGTGAGCTGAGTGAACAGTTATTTGGGTTCTTCTAGATTTTGATCCAACGGCAAGGACTCTTGTATTCAAATCTGGTTATCGGACATTTTATACGCGCGTATAAAAGGTCCCACAATGACTCCGCCCCTTTGCCATTGGCATTCTAAGTTTGAGCTCAAATATCTCGGCTTTGAGCTGTTAAATTTCAATCTTTTTGGTATCATTAGATGCGCCAAGTCTTTCTCTATCGATTGGTACAAAAACTATTTGAATTGGACAGCCCAACACCAAGATGGGTGAGTTCAAAGTTAGATTGCCAATGGCTAAGGGGCCGGCGCGTATAAAAGGTCTTTCTGACCCGACCCCTTTGCCAATGACAATCTAACTTTGAGCTCAAATTTCTTGGTGTTGGACTGTCCAATTTAAATCCTCTTGGTATCATTAGATGTGCCAAGTCTTTCTCTATCGATTGGTACAAAAACTATTTAAATTGGACAGCCCAACACCAAGATATTTGAGCTTAAAGTTGGATTGCCAATGGCAAAGGCGGCAGGACGCGTATCAAATGTCCCAGAATCGAAAAAATACTTCCCCAATCCTTTTCAGTCACTTGGAGGCTTATTGACGGTGATCACAAATCTCGCCGTCACTCAACTATTCAGTTTCAAACACCAAAAACTCATGAACAACGATTATCGCATGAAGTAGTGAACCGACTTTAGTTTGAATTTTTAAACTTTTAGAGTCGAATCAAAGACTTGGATTGTGTTGATGATCTTAATGTACACTGTTCACGGTTCATTGATTGTGTTGATCATTGAATTGTTTCCGGCTGAGTCGGGGAAAACCTCGCATGCGATGTTGGTGCTTTTTCAGGTTAGTAAAGTATTTTGATTTGTTACAGACCCAATAAGTCAGTACATTGGCCATTTAAAAGCAAAGAACTTAACTGTTTTCAATTTAAACCTTCAAGCTAGTTACAGGAAAGATATCGTAAAATGTATCGTTCACAGGCAAGCTATCGTAAAAACTCTAAGAAGCCCATGGGCTTGTATTTTTCAAATCTCTAAAATCAGCCGAAAAAGTAGGTTTGTTAGAGAGGCTTCAATTAGAATGGGCTTCAATTAGAGTTTTTTTGGTTATCATTCTTGATTCTTTAGAAATATCCATGTCTTTACTTGCTTTCCGATTTTCCGTACTTCTACGCAGCGACGATGGATCCGATTCCCGGAGTTGGCCTACCAGCATTAGCGATTTTTGCCTACTATGTCTTTTATGTTGTCACTTTCTGTGTTGGCACGGTAAGGAATGCTCTATTGAATCAATTTCTTGATCTCAATAGGATCTAATCTGCATCACTCACTCGTTCTACATTTTGCGTCACTCGAATCGATTCATCAGTGAGCATCGGAGGAAAATGCAAAAGAAATTCCTAATCACTTTGTGCTTACAGGTGAAATGCTTGAACCAAATGCAAATTTTTGCTTCCAGTTGTCGATTCCAGTGCTAATCCTTGGATGTCCGTGGATTTATTTTGGTTCGACGCTTGTTTTCAGCTCGATTTCGAATGCAAGTATGACTTTTCCTTTAGTGTTTTATGTTCTAGGTTGTCGTAAATAAGCCAGAACATTTTGATTTCAGCTAATGATTTTTAAAAGATACCTCTTTGAAAACACAGTAAACAAACCGCCAGTTTACATTAGATCAGCCCAATTTTGGTATCATTCGACGAGGAATCACAAGACTCAGTCAATGACACCAAAGTTCGGCTGATCAGATGAAAAGTGGCAATTTGATTATGAAAAGTTTTAGAAAGTATTAGGTATATGCATAAGAAATGCGGATTTTGATCAAAAAAGCTATTTAACAATTCATTTCCAACTTCAATCCACTTATTATTTACAACTTTAATCGTATAATTTCGCAAACTCTAAAGGAAACTATAAAGGAACTATAAAGGAACTATAAAGGAACTTTAAAGGAACACCCAGGAGACGACTTTTTATTTTGCACTACCAGTAAAACGTGGATTTTCTCCAATTTTTGGCGTAAATCGTCGTCATCAATGGTCAGAGGTGACCATGTTCTTCGTCATCATCCTCTCACCATTGATGACGTCATGTAGATCCTCGCTACCGTTGCGGAACTTTATAAATCATCGGCCGCATTCATTTTCAGATATAATGTCTGATTTAAAGACAGAGGCGAGCTTTTATGGTATTCAACAGCGCTCTTTCCCAGCTTGAAATCGTAGAGAATACATACACAAACGCGATCCTTGAGGTCCTCCATCTCTAATACAAAAAGTGTTGAAGCAAAAAATATCAATTAAAAAGCAATAGAAACTAGTCAAAAGTGGCTAAAAAATGCAAAAAGAATTAGCTAAAAATGTTGAAAATATGATGAGATACAAGATTTCAAAGTTCATTTGCATTTCTTATGCATGTACCTAATGCATGTAGTTACCTTTTAGAAAAAGCACTCTAATCTAAGCCCTGAATCTTAGCTTCGCTCTTAGCTCTTAGAATCTTAGCCCACTCTAATCTAAGCCCTGAATCTTAGCTCACAACAATTTTCTCTTTGGCGTCCTTTGCACACATGGATTTATCTCATCACTTTTCTTGATCACTGTCAACGAACCCTATCGACATGCCGTCATTTCTATTATTTTACGGTTTGTTGCAAACCAAAACAAGAGCTGCACTGTAACAAGAGGTCCAGGATCAACAAGTTAAAGCCATTCTACTGCACTATTAAGCATAATGTATTGTAGAGTACTGTATTAGTGAGTAGACTGGACAGTAAATATCACATTCACATTCACCTAATATTAGGACAGTAAATATCACATCCAGTACAATACAGTACTGTATAAAGTACTGTATTAGTGAGTGGACTGGACATATCACATCACACAATACACTACTGTATAAGCACATACTAGCCGACGGATCAAGAAATCAGGTTCATCCCTGATTTGTAGTTAAATTTTGGTTTAACAATCGTTAATCGTTTTCAGAAACCCTGCACATGCACATCATCCACCACCACCTGTGCAATTAAAGGATCACCGGTCATCATCAACCATCAACCATATATCAACTTGCTAAAATTTGTTGACTGTGGCCAGGCAAGATAAGCCAGAGTCGGAGCCAGAGTCGGATTTAGCCTAGCTTCTGACCTTGCCTGGTCTATTGTTATTGATCCGGTCGACGACCCAAATTCGCGAGTTGTTCCAGGCTGACTCGTTGTTGTTGTACAGGGTGTTCAATATTTATGGAAACCAGTAGATACACTAGTAGTATCTACTAGTATCTGCTAGTAGATACTAGTGGAAAAAATTTTTTCCCATATCACCATGGCCACCACCACCAAATGGGCCACCACCATGAGATTTTTGGCATAAAATTAAAACTTTCTTCTCTTCACTGTGGTGTCATATTAGAGTTAATGTATAAACTAAGATTTTTAGCCAAATACTTTATTAATCTACATTATATGATAATCTGTCGTACATCAAAGATTTTCAAATCGCCTTTTTTTAAAGAAGTATCCCCTTTTTCCAAGGAAACGCTGATCAATAAAGTGTATGGTTTAAATTTGTAGTTATGCTTTCTCTTCCACACTTGCTTTCTCTTTGAATTTCTACATTCCTCAAAATCAGGACTGCAAACTGGCATGTTTCACTGTTTATTTTTGATTTTCTGCATTCGTATCAGAGTTTAATAATTTATTACTGTTCACTTAGCATTGATTTTGTGTGGTGATCACGTTGAAAGCATTCCACATCTTGTCGTTACTGATGCAAGTCGTGCCACCGCCACGCACGTATTGTGAAGTCTGAAATGATTGAGTAAATCACAAAAAGGAATCATTTAGCTAATCATTTAGCCAATCATTTAGCTCATCATTTAGCTAATCAGCCAATCAAAGCTATCAAAGCTATCAAATAAGTTTAGTCAGGATACTTTTGAACTCTACCATTCTGTTGATGTCTCCAATGCACACATAGGGGCTTGTTTTAAGAGCTGAACGGGCCAATTTGCTGTGATCTTTCGTGTATTTGAATTCAAGGGACTCGCCGACCTAAATAAATTCATTGTTCATTTATCATTTATTCATTGTTCATTTCAAATAAGTCAAATGTTGGTTTCGTAAGATCGAAAAGTTTGCAAAGGTAATCAAAAGCCGAAACATTGAAGTTTCTGTTGCATTTTTATTTCTAAAGTAATTCTAATTGTAAAGTAAAGTAAAGTAAGTAAAATTTTATAAAAAAACCTTTCAAAAGTCTTTTCAGAGTCAATATTTTATACTTCTCAGCCAACGGATTTCCCTCCATCTCCCTTATCACCAATTTTCTAGACCCCGTCTCTCGGCCCACGTAGTATAGTGGTTAGTACTCCACGTTGTGGCCGTGGCGACGCTGGTTCGATTCCAGCCGTGGGCAATTCTTTTTGTTTTTTTGGGGAGAATGAATTTTAGGGAAATGGAATGGATTTACCTTAATCGTCAAGGCATCATTGACCGGGAATGGATCTCCACAAGTCAACGGCACTTCGCTTCCTCTTCTCCAGCTCTCCACAATGAATGGAGTTCGGAGTGAAGGAGCCAAGAGTTTTTGGTAGAGATCTGAAAGAATCTTGTTTCTAGAGAAGCAATTTCAATAACCATCGTTGAAGTCAGCGGTTTTAGCGAAAGATTTGAACTGTTGACCGCCCTTTGTCGTGAGTGTTATTGATGAGTGCGAGTTGGCGCCTGATTGGAATTTTCCGGCGATCAGCTGAAAGATTTCACTTGGATAAGTCTTCATAAACAGACCAGATTTTCAAAATTCTTAGATTTCCTTATTAGCTTACATTAGCAAGATCGGGATTTGCGGAGGCCATGCTTGTTGGAAGATTCGATGAGTAGATGTCGGGATGGTTGTAGAAAAGTTGAGTTCCTAAAAAGTTTTGACGTTTGGAATTTTAGCCCTAAAGCCTAAGCCTTTAAACTACAAGAAAACCTTGAACAAGAAGCTAACAACAAGCTAACACGCTAGTCAACGAACAATAAGCTAGTTCATGCTCAAGTCAAAGCTGACCACAATAGAGGATTATCACCACTAGTTAATACTAGTTAATGTAATTTTGTAAGACGTGTATTGTTTTTTTTGGCTTTACTATAAAGAGGTGAAAGTTTTAGTTTTGTAATGTATTATCTAAATGCGTGGTGTGAAATATTCATGGAAAATTCATGGAAAATGAGTTTCCAAACATTTCCCACTCACCAATATCCTTGAGTTGAGCATAGGTGAACGTCATGCACAACATCGTTTGCCCGTAATCGGTTCCCGAATCCGGATATTGATAGTGATCAGGTGGAGGGAATTTCGGTACCGAATGCACCAACCACACTCCCGTTTGACCATCGAAGAAGAGGGTGCCTGCAAATCTTGTTGTTGTTGTTGTCCTAGAGCTAACTTTAAACGTTTAAACTTTACAGAGACTTTTAAACTGTACAGAGCTTGTTTTAATGTAAAGAATGATGTAAAGGCCAAGAAATGTAATGAATGATGTACCCTTTGTGTGCCCAAATTGAACAGCAGCCAGCTCTGGTCGATAGATTCGACTGTCGACTCGATTCGCCATTTGGGATGACATCGAAACGGTGCCATAGGGCTGAAAAGGATCGGGAATTTTCTCGGATTCGAAACTTTTCCTCTATGCGTTTTCTAAAACGTATCAACAGTCAAAAACCGTCATTACCGTATCAACAAATCAATAACAATCAACAAAAGTACCGTAATCAAAGTTTACCAAATGTTAGCGCTCTCCAAAGTCAAAATTTCAGAAAAAACAAAAACAGATAGGTTCCACCGAGATTCGAACTCGGGTCGCAGGATTCAAAGTCCTGAGTGCTAACCGCTACACCATGGAACCGTGGTTGGCGGCAGGGAAAAGAAGCAGATAAAGCTGACAGATTCATCAATGACAGATTGTTTCTTGAATTGTTTCTCATGCCAATTCTGGTTTTTTTTTGCACAAAAAGGAAGGAAAGGCTGGGATAATGGATTTGCAAAGCTGATAACAGAGAAAGCACACCAATTTCTAATTCTATACGCTCTAGAAACTTGTCTGAAACGCTCCAGAAACAGAAACTTGTCTCTGAATCATTCACAGACAGAAAGTTTACATTCAAATGCAAAATGACTGCTGATTTAACTAACATTTACCTTAGTTTGCATGAAAAGAGCTTTTCCATTCAAACTAGAGTCTAAAGATCAACAATTCTAAGATTAAATGCTTCTTGAATACAGTCTTTAAGCTTTGAGAGAGATCTAGAGATTTTTTTGATAGTTTTTGATAGTTGATAGTTCAATTTGTCTTTGTTGCCATCATTCCAACTCACCTCATCATTGAACATCACATGGAAGATTGTCTTGTCGTCTTTCACCGCGTAGAATTGATTGAGCGTGTTGGCGATTGCTTGATTTGTGCTGTTTAGGGGTTGTGCTGATGGACGGAGTTGCGATGGGTCGTTTACATCCAAATAGTAGAAAGCAAGGCCTTGAGCAATGTCGATCACAGTGTTATCTGGAAATCAGAAATGGGCATGTTAGGTAGTGATTTAAAGTGCAATCAGCGTACACGCATCCCTTCTGGGCACTGGATTTGTTTTCAATTTCCTTTGAGGAAACTGTCTGCACCGGAAAGGATGTTTTTAGGGTTTTGAACAAAGAGTACACTACAGCATAACGATTCTTAAACTCTAGCTTCAGAACAATAACTGCACAACAGCACAATAACTGCACAAGAGCACAATAACTGCACAACAGCACAACTCTCGTTTGTGCTTTGTGTAGTTTGTGCTTAGAAATTTAACTTTTAGCACCACTTCTAGCACCGGTAAAGCTTTCATTTTTTTTGCCTTGCTGCTGAAAACTGGGAAAAAGTGTGTTATATTAGGTGTACTATGTGTTGATATGGCTTACTCTTTTTAGAAACAACTAGAGATTAACCTACCGTTTTTACTTATTAACTTACAGTTTTACCTATTCACTTACAATTAGCTTAAAGTTTTTACCGTTTAAAAGCTCTTCTAGCTTTACTGATCTTCTAGATTATCGCATTTGGAAATCCTTTCGTTTTGTCTATTTTCAAAGAGCAAAAAGTTGAGGAATCAAAAGCAGAAAAGGCTGAATGATACAATTTGAGCACTTTTAGCCAAAGAAACCCAAAGAAACCTATTTTGAAGTCATAAGAGAAAAGTTAGAGCACCAAAAAGTTACCATTATAACCAAAATCTCAGCTTACTTTGTCAAGCCGTTATTGTTTTGACGATTTAATGGATTTTCGGATTAAAAACACTTGTTTCTGCTCAAATATTCCTCAAAATCTATCCAAATTCGTTCAAAAAGATCTAAAATGAGAAAAAAGAAGAACCTTTTATTTGAAAACCGTAACTAAAATAGCCCTTTACTTGTTTTCTACAGAGGAAACTACAGAGAAAAATGGAAATACCATACCAACACAAAGTACTCAACCAAATAGCTTTTTAAAATAAAGTACTGTTTCGAAATAATGCTAACTTATGCTTTTTAGCTTATGCTTTTTAACTTATGCTAACTTATGCTTTTTCTATTCAAACACTAACCCTTCTCAATCGGCATTTTGTAGACGGCAAACCAATCGACATCTTTATTGTTTTGATCTTTGCACGAAAAGGCAAAAATCGATGGAAGAACGAGCAAAACGATGACCGGAGAAAGGCCCATTACCTGAAAAGAAAAGAAATTTCGATTATAAAAGAGAAAAATTAAAGGAAAAGATCGCTACTTTGCGCCAAATTCTTTTGCTCAACTTGCCATAACTATAACTTTCTTCTAAGTGAGCGAATCTTTATGCCTTTGTTGTCATTTTGTTAAACTTGTTGAGATCTACAAAATGACACCAAAAAGATAAGGATTTACCTACTTAGAGGAAAGTTACGAGTTGTGCAAAAAAATTTCGCGGAAAGTAGCCACCGCCGATCGCTTCATAGTTGAAAGAATACGTTTTTTGAAAAGCAATCGATTAGCAATATACCGTATTTCTTCGAATAGAAGACCGGGTAAAGAGTATCATCGCGTACTCCTGCGTAGCAGCCCTTTTTAAAATTTCTTTTCTGCATAAAAGCTTTCAGTCAAGTGCTATAGGGCTGGAAAATGGCTCAAAAATCTGTTAGCTCATGTGGTATTTTTGGGCCATTTTCCAGCCCTATAGCACTTCATTAAAAGCTTTTATGCAGAAAAGAAATTTTAAAAAGGGCTGCTACGCAGGAGTACGCGATCATACTCTTTACCTGGTCTTCTATTCGAAGAAATACGGTAAAAGCAATATGAAAGCCATCGATTAACAATATAAAAGCAATCAAAATTTATCTCGAGCAAAGTCAGAAAGAAAAAATTATGTGCTAGCAAAAGTTGTAATAATTTTTTAATGTTAAAATTAGATTTTAAATTAAAGTCTAAAATAATGCCCAGCTCAAATAGTGTACTTTACTTTCTTTACTTTCTGTACTTTTTGCTCGCACAAACGCACACTTTCTAGCACACTTCAGTCCTAGGTCATTTGCGCTCTGACAAAGAAAAGAAAAGCTGTGTACTAGAAAGGGTTTGCTTGCAAAAGACCAAAGTACGGACAGAGTTCTTTCACATTTATAAATGAATATAAATAAATAAATGTGAAAGAACTCTGTCCGTACTTTGGTCTTTTGCAAGCAAACCTTTTCTAGTACACAGCTTTTCTCTACAGTTTTTTGCATAACAAAACCCTAAATTTAAAAAATTCAAAATGAAAAGCGAGTAAAATTCAAAAGCTTAAATGATTTTTGAGCACATTTTCGCCGAATCTCTAAAGTCTATCAAAGAATTTTCGAATTCCGGCCTGGTGAACCCTGGGGTTGAGAAGATAAGGAAAATCACAAGGGGATTTTGAAAACGAAAAAAAAGCCCGGGCTCGCTTGGTAAAAATGAAAGAAATTTGGCAAAAAAGGGCATAAAAGGGCGGAAAAATCGAGTAGTTTAACCAATTTAACCAATTACCCAAAAAATCAGTTATAGGAATGAAATTTCTATAATTTAGAATGAAATTTCTATAATTTAGAATGAGATTTCGAAATTTCTTTGATTAAACTCGCAAGGGAAAACGAAAACCCCAAATTTTCCTTTCAAATACTTCTCTTTGATGTCCAAAAATGCCAAAGTTTGCCTAGTTGAAGACAATTTTTATAAAAGAAATCAATTTCTAAAAGAAATCAATTATAAAAGAAATCAATTATAAAAGAAATCAATTTCTAAAAGATTTTCGCGAAATTTCCGCCAAATTCTCTTCAAAAAGCAGAAAAGGACGCGGAAACGGGAACTTTTCCCGCCAACAAATAAAGTGCTTTTTTTCGCCTTCTCTCTCGTCGGTTCCATGGTGTAGCGGTTAGCACTCAGGACTTTGAATCCTGCGACCCGAGTTCGAATCTCGGTGGAACCTACCATTTTTGCTTTTTCGGAAATTTCTTGGCAGATCTTTTTGGGTTCATTTAGCGTCTAATCTTTGATGAAATTTTTGATTTTTAGACTCTGATTTGAATGGAAACTATCAAAAATCTAAGTTAATGTAAATCTTAATGAAATCAAAGTCGGTTTGCATTAAATCAGGGGTCATTTTGTAAACTTTCTGTCTGTGAATGATTCAATAAGCATATAAGCTTAGAACTCTTGATCTTTAAACTCTAGTTTGAATGGAAACTCTCAAGAATCTAAACTGAGATAAATATTAGTTAAATCAACATCAAATCAACAATCAGTTTGCATTAAATCAGCAGTCATTTTGTAAACTTTTTGTCTGCGAATGATTCAATTGGTTTCTAGAGTGTATAGAATTAGAAATTGGTGTGCTTTCTTTGTTATCAGCTTTGCAAATCCATTATTTCAGCCTTTTCAGCCTTTTCTTCCTTCCAAAAAACCAGAATTGGCTAGAGAAACAATTCAAGAAACAGGCTGTCAATCATTGATGAATCTGTCAGCCTTATGTGCTTCTTTTCCATCCCGATAACCGCGGTTCCATGGTGTAGCGGTTAGCACTCAGGACTTTGAATCCTGCGACCCGAGTTCGAATCTCGGTGGAACCTATCATTTTTTGGTGCTGTGAAATTTTGATTTTCGAAAGCGCTAACATTTGGTAAGCTTTGATTACAGTTGATATGTTTTAGAAAACGTCTGACTTTTGATATGTTTTAGAGAACGCATAGAAAGATAACTAAATGATAACTAAATGATACAGTGAACTTTCTAGTGAACTGAGTGAATACAGTGAACTTTCTTTTGCATTTTAGAACATTTTGCTTGTTCCATGTTCGTTTGTCCTTGATTTTCAGTTCTTCTAAATCAGTTACTTGTTCTTTTGAGAGTTTTTGTTATGAAATCCCATCTAACGATCAACAATTAGAATCCAAGAAAATTCCGGATCCTTTTCAGCCCTATGGCACCGTTTCGATGTCATCCCAAATGGCGAATCGAGTCGACAGTCGAATCTATCGACCAGAGCTGGCTGCTGTTCAATTTGGGCACACAAAGGGTACATCATTCATTACATTTCTTTCGGCCTTTACATTAAAACAAGCTCTGTACAGTTTAAAAGTCTCTGTAAAGTTTAAACGTTTAAAGTTAGCTCTAGGACAACAACAACAACAAGATTTGCAGGCACCCTCTTCTTCGATGGTCAAACGGGAGTGTGGTTGGTGCATTCGGTACCGAAATTCCCTCCACCTGATCACTATCAATATCCGGATTCGGGAACCGATTACGGGCAAACGATGTTGTGCATGACGTTCACCTATGCTCAACTCAAGGATATTGGTGAGTGGGAAATATTTGGAAACTCATTTTCCATGCATCATTTTCCATTTTCAGTTCTTCTAAATCAGTTACTTGTTCTTTTGAGAGTTTTTGTTATGAAATCCCATCTAATGATCAACAATTGGAAGTGTTTTAACAATTGGATCAACAATTGGAAAGTAAACCAAAAACTTTCGATTTTTGTTTGTTTAAAGCCAGTTTTTTTGTTTTTTTTCGTCAAACTTGGCAAAATCTGTGACTCTGCTCGATTTTTGTGCATTTTGGATAACTTTTGATGTCGAAAAGCACTTTTTTAAATAGAAATTTTATTAATTTTAGTTTAAAATCTTAAAAACTACAAAATTACATTACAAAATTGATAAAAAAAGAGATCAAAAACTATTAAAGGGTCCCTGAGAAATAAATGCAAATTCCAAAGCTTTTTAAAGCTCCAAAATTTGCATATTACCAGTAGTTTACATTTTAGTCTGTGAGGAATACTGTAGCGTAGCATAGGTCAGGTGTACGCTTGCGTACGGTAATGACGGGCGCACGCTTGAGTACGGTAACGACGTGACGGGGCTGAGCCCGAGAGATGAATGCTTTGAGAGGCTGGGCTTTAGGCTTATCAAAAGTGATAGGAATTTTGATATTGAATCACAATTTTGTTATCTAGATATCTTTTTAGAAACTAGATATCTAGATATCTTCTTTGGTTTTATCAAAATCTTATCTTCTTCTTGGTTTTATCTTCTTCTCAGCCTCTTAAGCAGCTTTGTGTTGCGCCTTATGGGCAACTTTGGAACTCACCAAAATTGAAGAAAAATCTGATATCTAGAATATCTGAAAATGGCTAGCATTTTCAAAAGTTCCAGATTTCCGCGAGCGGGGGAAACCTGACGACAACGTAGGTGATCGGGAGCGGGTTGAGCCTGACTAGAGAACATCGCCAGATGCCCATGATCTTTTAAAACGAGACCAACTCCATATCTCATCCAATCGACGACGCTGCTTCCGAAACCGTTTTCAGTTTTTGCCCTCAAGGCCTGTGACGCGAAAGATCTGGGGTACAAGTTTTAGGCCTCCTTACTTGAGTTCATTTTTGCAACGGAGCCAACTAGAGAGGTGTAGCGCCAAAGCTGCCGACTACGGGGCCAAAGGCTCGATCCGGGTTCGATCCCCTTCCAGATTAAAAACCAAAAGAGGTCAATTTCTTTTGGTTTTTAACCTGGAAGGGGATCGAACCCGGATCGAGCCTTTGGCCCGTAGTCGGCAGCTTTGGCGTTTGCACCTCTCTAGTTGGCTCCGTTGCAAAAATGAACTCAAGTAAGACCTAAGACTTGTACCCCAGATATCTCGCGTTACAAGCATTGAGGACAAAAACTGAAAACGAATTCGGAATCAGCGTAGTCGATGCTATAAGATGGAGTTGGTCTCGTCACGAGCACCTGCCAACGTTCCCTAGTGAGTACAGGGAGGGTCAGCAATATGGCCTAGATCAGAACGTGACATAGGAGTGGGATACGATTAGCGAGTGATTACGTATGCAATCAAACCAAGGGTGGACGTAGGATCGATGCGGAGCCGCTGCTCTCCCCTAGCTCGATATCTTTTCTTTCTCAAATTCAAATTGATTGAATATTTTTCGAAAGTTGACTATTGGCTAAATATATTGACGTTGGATCTTGACTAAAGATCTTTGCAAACTCAAATTCGAACTGAATACCTTAAACTGAAAAGATATCTTGCTAGAGAACTCAGCAATATAGTCAATTGTGAGCCGGACACGGAGAAAGATTTCGAATGTGTTTGTGCTGGTCGGCTGTCGATAGCGGGATGGTGGTGTGGCAATGTCGATGACAGCGATGACGGGGTGGTAGCGATGGTGTGTCTCATTGAGAACTGAAAATTTTAAAATATTAAGTATTAAGATAAATCTATTGTTTTGTTTGCTTTCAACTCACCATAGGCTTTCGCTTCTCGAGTTTAGAGGGCTGTAAGGGATGAGGGCGTGGCTGTAGCGAATGATGGCGTGGCTGTAGTGGATGATGGAGTGGCTGTAGCGGATGATGGAGTGGCTGCAGTGGATGATGGCGTGGCTGTAGCGGATGAGGGCGTTGAACTCATAGCGTTGAACTCATAAACGTTGAACTCATCTGTATTCCGATACAGATGAGTTCAACGCCCTGTATCCGTACAGATGAGTTGAACGTTGAAAAACGTTCTGAAAAGAAAAGATATTCAGTTGTAAGTTCGAAATTCTGCATTGTAAGTCTTTTAAATCTGAAGTTAAGTCTTTTAAATCTGAAATAAAGCCAGTCTTTTGTTTTTCAAAGACGTTTTACTCGTTTCTCCAATGTCCAAACAAAAACGGAAAACTTTCACTAGCTTATATCCTTGCTTACAGTACTTTATTTAGCTAAAAACTTATAGTACTATAGCTTATACGTACTTATAGTACTATAGCTTATACGTATAGCTTACAGTACGCTTGCTTGCAGTACTTTCTTTAGCTAATCAAAAGCTCAAAGCCAAAGTAACCTACAGTAACTTTTCTTCATTCGACTTAAACGTACTCATTGATTGATTGGCTCATTGATTTTTTAAACTCATTGATTGGCTGAGTATCTTCTCACGGGATAAAGCTAGGAAAGTACTGAAAACGAGGCTAGAGCGAAAATTGCGCAGTTTCAAGTTAAACACTCTTTAAACTTAGCAATTTTATAGCCTTGTTTACAGTAAACTTTCTGAATAAGCTAAAGCTAAAGAAGATAAGCTAAAGTACAGTAAACTTATTGGTTAACTGAATATCATCCTAGGAAACGAGCTGTCTAGGATCCTAGGATGATATCTCTATGGATATCATCCTAGGAAACGAGCTAAAGTGGCATTTTCCAAGTCCATTTTAAACCCCAGCACAAGCATGAGATCTCAATTTTCAAAAATTCCTCTAATTTTAGCTTCTAGATAATTTAAGCTTTTAAAGTTTAGATATTCAGCTAATATCAGTTTTATTTTCGTCTTTTTGACGTCTTTTGAAACCTCTCTTTTTGATGTTAAAACGACGAAAACCGGCGAAAGTTGAAAATTTTCAAGTTTTCAAATTCTAAGCTCATTTCACGAGTTCATAACTTTCTCGAAGCCTAACTTTATGCTAATCTCATATGTGAATTGAATTAGTTTCCTCTTTTAGTTTAGCTTCCTCAAATTTACCGTACCTTTTTCGTCTCTTCAAATCCACCCGTGACACTTGCGCTCCACTAACCAAAAATTACACAAATCTGAAAATTTTTCGATAAAATTTGAAGGGAAATTAGCGATTTTTTAGTGATTTTAGCCTTTAAACAATACTTTTTCCTTTAAACAATAAATCTTTTGTTCAGGGCGATCACTTTTGAGGGTCTAGCTTAGCGAGATGTCAATGAATTTGCATCAAATTTTTGGAGGTGATTTTTGAGTATACACTACTGGACAATGAAATATCATATTCTAAAAAACACTTTCGCACTTTCGCGCGTCGGTAACTCCCTTGTCTTTACCGTATTTCTAAATATTAATATTACCATTGTGTAGCCCTTGAAAAGAGCTTTCAGAAAATGTATAACACTAATAGTTTAAACTCAAAGACAAGGGAGTTACAGACGCGCGAAAGTGCGAAAGTGTTTTTTCAAATAGAATATTTCATTGTCCAGTACTGTAGCTTTTTTAGTGATTTTAGCTTGAAATTAGCGATTTTTTTAGTGATTTTTCTATGTAAATCAGATCTATTTCTATTAGTTTTTTTATTTTAGATATATTTTATAAAACAAACAAGAATATCTTATAAAAAACAAACTCACTTTTCTACTTTGACCAGTAGCGCGCAAGTGTCAACTAGCCGAACCCTAAAATCGGATTGGTTGCTCGGATTGGTTGAGGGAATTTGAAGAATTTGAAGAAATTTTCAACTGACCCTTTGCAGAATCAATTTAATTTAATTAAAAAGAAATTTCTATGCAAATTTGTGAAATTAATGCAAAGCGCCAATGCTGCTTTTTATTGGCGCCAATCCATTTTGGCGCTTTGGCCCCCAGCGCCAAGCTCCATTTTTTGGCAATGCACTTTGTGCTCATCAGAAAACTGTAAACACACCCCTTCTAGTGCACTGAAATCGTCATTTTCTTGAGGAAAAGCGAAGATTTAAGTGTGCTAGAAGGGATTTGCTAGCGGCAAAACGTACAAATTCCGTATTCAGACGTATTCCTGTGTAGGCTGAAAGGCTTTTAGGCTGCGGCTGTAAACGCGGCCCTTCTGGCACATTGGTTTCTCTATGGATAAAAGCTGAATAAAAACTGGATACTGGATACTGGATGCTGGATAAAAACTAGAGAAACTCAGTGCGCTAGAAGAGAGTGCGTTTCCACGTTTTCAAGCACAAAGTACGCACAGTAAGGACCGTTATACCCAACATAAGGCATCGAAACCCTAATTAATTTTGATTTTGATTGGTTTCACTTTTTTAAAATGTAAATTTTGAGATACAAGCCTTGTAGAAAGATACAGTACTGTACTTAACTTTAATACTATGGCGGGTTTTGTGGCACAAAGTTGGGAGCTCTCCTTTTTGCTTAAAAAGGTCCTATTTGAGCTATAAAAAGGATATTTCAGCTTTGGTGAAAAAAAAAGATATTTGACCGGAGGTGGACTCGAACCCTTGACCTCTGGCACTCGGTGCGAGCACCCTAACCATTTGGCCACAGCACGCCGTACAGGGTGCGTATCTCGGGGATGTATATCTCGGGGGGGGGGATATCTCCGGGGACGCGTATCTCCGCCGTTTCCCGAAAACCTCGCCTTTGCGCCCGCTAGTGCTGATCGGACAGACGGACAGACTGACATTTTCAAATTATATATAGGTTAGATATCGAAAATATGAACTCACCGGTGCCTCTGGGGGGCCCTCATTTGTAGGGGGGATATCCCCTACGCGGGGCTTCGTTAAGCCCTTTGGGCGCCCTGAAAATCGAGAAAATTAGTTGGAAAATTAAAAATTCAATGATAAAATGAAAGAAAGCAAGTGAAATGGTGAATGGATAATAAAATCGAGAAATTTTTCATGCAAGAAAACCTTTTTTTTGGAGAAATTTTCTTTTGAAAGAAAAAGAGAGATTGGGGAAATTTGAGCCAATAAAATTGCATAAAAGAATAGAGTTTTTCAAAGAAAAATTGCCTATTTTCTTCTGGGAATTACGATAGTTTGCAGATAAGATTTTTGAGCTAATTTGGTAGTCTTGAAGAGTTTGTTTATGAAAAAGATTCCCCTGCTTTTAGTTTTAAAGCCCAGAATGTTACCGTAATCAATCTGATTCTAATAATTTTCAAAATTTCTATTCTAAGCTAGTTTCTTTAAGTCTACTTTATGCTTTCCAGCCTCACTGATCTTTTCTGGGGCACTCGATTCGCTCAGGCTCAGGCTCAGGCTGGGAGAGACGCTGGGAGGTGGGGAGGATTCCTCGCCTTATGTCTCACTGACTACAAGAGCAATCCAGTACACTGGAAAAGTGTGTTTATGAGTTTTTGAGCACAAGCACAAAGTACAAGTAGACTTTTGGAGATTGGTACAAGTAGACTTTTGGAGATTGGTACAAGTAGACTGTTGGAGATTGGTACAAGTAGACTGTTGGAGATACTTGTTTTACTCACATTTGCCGGCTCAGCCAGTTCACCTTCTCTTGTCAGAGAAGCCAATCAAAAGTCTGATTTTTAGACTTGGTTATTGGAAACTTATAACTTAAACGGAGAGCTTATTGGCAAATGAAAAGTGAGGCGAAATATTTTGAGTAACTTTAGCCAGATCTACGAAAATCTTCGCATTCTGGTGAATAGGCGGGAAAATTGCTTTGTGAGAGTAGGGAGTGGAATGAATGGGAAATGGACAGGTGGGAAAGAGAGAGGACA